ATAATCAAGATGTTATTTGGACCTAAGAATAAATATTTCTTGAAAAAGACACTGATTGTTTTTATGAAATAAAATTTATCTGATGTATTTATGTTGGTTGAATGGATGAGATTGTTCACTATGGTGTTTATCGTTAAGTAATAATAATTCCGAATAAATATATTTTATGGATTTATTCAAAAAATGAATAAGACAAATAAATTTGTTTTTATTTCGAAAATAATATTTGCAATTAAAAACTAATTGATATCGAAAGAAGTTATTTTTCAATATTTTTGAATATTTTGTTTTAAGTCAATTTGAAATTAAACAACAATTACATAATCTTATCATTATTGTATTGACAAGATAATGATGAATAGATTCTATTAATAATATCGATTTGTCGAAATAATAATATTCAATGAAAAACAAACTAGTCAATCAGGATAAATAATAATTTTGTATCACTATCAGAGATTCGATAGTAGATAATGAAACAACTATTTTTATTATATATTGCTATTTTTATTTTTATAAACAATTATTAACAAAAGTCTTCAAAATAATATTGTAAAAACTCGAATTAATTGTAATTAAATAATATAATAATATACTGATTTCAAGATGCATATTGACTACTTAAAACTGTCAAAGATTCTCATGTTGATTATATTGAAATATATCACAGAATTTCACAGAGAAATTTTATTGAGATATTGTTAAGAAAATGATTCACATATGTCATCGTTACAATTTTCACTTGGTTACAAGAAATATTTTATTTTTTTATTCTTCTTCTTTCTTAAATTATGTTTGCGCTGGCAACAAATAAAATTTGATGCTTCTTTTTCTCATTATTCTTGGTTCGAAAGTGTTTTTTTTTCTCTTCAAAAGTATTCGATTAAGTCGAACTGAAATAGTTTCATCTGACAATATAAAAATGAAAAAGAAAAAATGAAAACGTGTCTTTCATATAGACAAAGTCAAAGCCAGTAAGTCAACAAATATTGACGTTAACATTAACTATTTTCATTTTCAACTTAATTTTAAGTTTAATTAGAATAAATATTTCAATATTCGATTTATTAAACTAAAAACCAACTCCCTTAATAATATTATAAACCATAGATTTTTCAAAGATATAAAAAATTATTTAATTTTTAATTATGAAAAGATCCTTTTTTAAATAGAATCTTATTAGAAAATCAATTTATTTGGTTCGAATATCGAATAAATTCAAGACTAGAAGCTATATTCATGTCGATATTTAATTCAAAGTTGAATTCTCAATAGAAATAATTACTAACGAAATATTAAACTTCACATTTTCTTTTTCTTGAAAACTTTAACAGAATGAATCATTTCAATAACGATCAATCAACTTTGGAGAACTAATTGTGTTCTTATAAAATCAACTCAATATGATACATATATATGTATTTAAAGCGAATTCATTTTTTTTCTTCAACAAATTAACAGATAAAACAATAATAATCAATCAGAGTTTCCATTGAGTCCAATGCGATATATCGAATTTAAGATTTAGTGGTCAATTTTTTTTAATGAACAGTGACGAACTTATAATAAATATTAGGATTAATTCTATGAAGATATTTTCATAATATCTGTATTCACATATATATAAACAGATTTAAGAAAAAGTAATAAGACAACTTGCAGTGTCTTAATGAAAGAGTGTATCTTGCAAAACAAAGTGTACGGTACCCTAATGAAACAGAATTTACATACTGTGGTACATGTTGAAGGCAAAAACTAGCGTGCACGCTGTACATACTGAATTTTCTTTTTTTTACAAGAGTTTCGTGCCTTTATGCTCAAAAGAAGTTTATCTATGGAACGCGATCGAGATGACACATATCATGTTCAAGAGAGTAATAGATAGGAACGATTTCATATCTTACATGTTCTTATACACGTAGCTTACGTATATAACTTGTGTACTACCTGATATGAATATGAAGCGGTACTTAAATAATTTTTCGAAAAGCTGCAAGAGATACAAGAAAAGAAGAACGTTAGACAAAAAAAATACATCTTAAAGGATCTTAGTTGTAGTTTATATCCAAAGATTTTCAACGACTACAGACTCTGAGTGTTTTTTCATCATATCGATGTTCCTCTTTAGATGAACTTTAGACAAATACAATGCAACTGTGACAATGATGGGCTAGGGAGAGCATGGGTTCAGGTGCAAGTCTTTTCTATAGACGCATTCACGTCCTTCAATTTTCGTGTGCTTATTAAAGTGAAAAATGAAATAAGTGTCCTTTTAATAATAGTTTTCTTATATGACTAGCCAACAATTTTTCACTTCTTGTACATTTTGTATCCCCATTAAAAATATTGAAGACAACATGGAAACTTGTTTGTTGTTCTTATTCTATCGAAACATAAAACAATAAATTTCTTTCTTTCATCAGAATTCAAATGTCTAAGTAAAGTTTAAAATGCTCAACAGAACTTATTTCTTCATTAGTCAAGTCATTTTTCATAGATTTATTTATTGAAGCGAACGATTTAATTTGATTGATTAGTTTCATCGGAAATAACTCGATTAAATGATTTTCTCATCAAAATAAAATATACATGTAATTCTTCGATTATCTGCTAATTATCAATGTAAAGAAATCTCGAATAGATTTTACATCTGACACTAATGAACATATGACTGTCACACCAGTCACTTTTGTTCCAATCCCGGATCCAGTCCGGATTCCAGTCAGAAATGTATCGGATTTGAATAAAAAAGCTGATTCATCTGTATCTTTCTATAACGCATTTGAAAGCAGCAAGAAAACTCTAATAAAAGCAAAGAAAGTAAGCATTAGAATTATATATGACCAGGATTAGTTGTTTTTTTCCTAGTTTCGATCCCGGTCAGAGCGAGATTGGGACTGACACCACATTACTTATATCTAGACTAACGTCTTAATACTTCGCTTTCGCCAGTCTAGTTCGGTATCGTTTTGAGTTTATGTCGGAATTTGAACGTATGTATGAAAAAAGTGTCAAATTTCGTTTTAGTTATTTTCAATGAAATTGAACTATTCAAAAAATTTCAATTGTCACCCATAGAAAAAAAATTTTCGATATCCGACAAATATTCTTTCGAAATGTGAATGATTCGAGTTGGTACATTCAAGTCACAAATAATGATTAAATCTGAAAAAGTTCTCGAATAAATAAAAAAATGATCTTTCTGTGAAATATTCTACAAGTTGTGTGCCTGTGAAAATATTTTTTAATTTGCTATTGAGTTGATTCGTTTTTTTATAATCGATTGTTAGTCATTGAAATATATAAGACTAAAATAATAAATAGAAACCTATTTATCTGTTGACAAATCATCAACATCTAACAAAAAGAAAAACAATAAGTTTATCAGATCCGGTTGATATTATTTTGAGTTCGATTGTTCATCAATATTGATTAGGTTTTTTTATGATAAATCTTTTATCTAATCATAGAATAGCTCTATAGTATTCAAGTACATATTTATATAGACAAATCGAAGAACTATCGACGAAAATTTTACTTTTTTGGATTTGTTTGTTTCTTATTAAACTCTTCCAATTAAAAATTTCATCTTATTGGTTACATGTAGAATTAAAAAAAAACAATCGCCGACATTGTTCTTAAAATTCGTTTAGAATACGAAAAAACAACATAACAATTGAAATAGTGTTCAAATAAAAAAATGTTTTCTTAACGCTGAATCATATTTTAAAAAGAATTTTTGTCTTAATGAAATTCATCTTGAACATATTTAATAAAAATAACATGATAAAAAAAATCTTTTTTCTTATTAAATTTGAACATCTTTTTTTTTTATTTATATCTATCTTGATTTATCTCTCAATGAAATAGAAATTTTTAAAATATTCTTCATTTGATATGATATTCAAATATTTGATTGTGTTCAAGAGTAAAGTTCATAGTTGTATCTATGCTCTGATGAAATTGTTTAACTAATAATTATAAGAGTTTTCTGTTGATTTATGTTTAAGTAGTTCATAGTTATTGACAAAATATGTCAAATGCATAGAAATCAGAAAGAGTTTTTATCAAAGAAATATTTCTAATAGACGGAATAAAACATAATTTATCGTAATTTTAAAATGAAAATGTCTATTCCTTGTTTTATTCATAGTTATATCGAAATGAATCAAGATAATGACATAGAAATATCTAATTCAAGATATATTAATATTATTTACTTTAATAGAATAGAAAATTTTTAAACTAGGTTTATTATATTTAAAATGAAAGATTTTCTTTCAGATAATTCTAAATATTCAATTGTGTTAATATCGATTCAAACTTGATTTAAATATTTTAATGGTTCATCGTCAAGAATGGAAAATCATAGCCGATATAATGGCTATTTTGATTGATATATTTAATCTTGCTGAACAACTCGGTATTTATTTTATTTCTAAAGAAAATGATTTTGATGAAAGTGCACAGCAACGTTTCTTTTTTATATTGTTTGCTGTTGGTGGTGCTTCGGTATTCAAACCTTTATTAGTTCATCCAATTCTATTTGTTTTATTCGGTATATCAATTGAAATAGGTGAATTAGTATCATATTTAAAATTATTATCAAATACAACTAGTTTACTTGTTGTTGCCATTTTATTTTTTACTTTCGAAGTTATTTTTCATTTAATTAGTTTAATCGGTCTTTTGAGAGAAGAAAAAGATTATTTTAAAGATTTTGCTAAAAACTGTTGTACATTACCAGGACGTGTATTTTTATATGGTTTATTATTTGAAACACAAATATTATTCTTATTTCTTGATTCTCAATCATCATTTCGTCAAACTTTCTATGAAGTTTTAATGATATTAGTCACGTTTTTTGGTTTATCTGCAATAGATAAAGGTGCAAAACGTTGCTGTCTTATGAATGAAGATGAAGATGAAAAGTCTTTATATACTGTATGGGAAGCGATCTTAGCATTACTGAGCGCAATAGAAGCTCCTATTATTGTAATAACTGCAGTTGTATATGCAAGTCAAGCACTTCAGCATAAAGAACAATTAAAAACATATGATTTTGTTATTTATATTATTATAATAATCACATATGGATCAGCTCTTCTTTCATTGGCACTAACAATTTTATGTGCTCTATGTTTATGTGCAGGTACATGTGTTAAAGCTTTAGTTGACTGTTTTTTTCAAAAATAATTCCAAATAATTTCTATGCTTAAACATGACAAATAAACTTTTTGCAGTTGCCTTTTAAAGGCACCTAGTTGACTTTTATATTTTCTTGAAAAAATTAAAAGATAAGTATAAATTGAAAACTCATTGTATGATAATTATTTTGCCAAGTGTGTATGCATTCAGATACTATTAAAGTATCTCTTTAAGGGAAAGAGGAAACGAGAATGAGAATCAGTATAATCCAACATAGAAATAACAGATGAAAAATCGATTCGCATAATATATTAATTAATCAATTAGTCCTTTCAAAAAAAAAGTTTATTAATTCAGTTGCACGAAGACATTCTGTGTAGACCCATATAATTCTTGGAGTTTTCAATAGTAATAGCTTTTGTTTTAGTCTGCTATGCTACGTATATGTTAATACTAACAGAAAAGAGAGAACTATTTCAAAAATTTTCATCTAGTCTAGAAACTCACAACAACTAAAATTGAATAGAATCTATGTCCTATTTTGTTCGACTTTCTTCAATTAATATATGATGTCTTCTCACAAATTGGTAAGTTTGATGTTACCTTAATTTAGATCATTATTTAACACAATTAAAAGCCTTTTCAATTCGTGTATAACTAATACTATTGATAGAAAGACAACATGAGCTACAAAATCCGGCTTTTTGCTAGATATCGTATTTTTAAGTTGCTTAATACTTCGATATTTTCACAGTTATATGAGACTAGTGAGTGGCATAACTTTCACAAGAGAAAGAAATCTTTTCTGATTTTTTGTAATGAATATGCAGTATGATCTGAGGTCACCATTGTACAATGAGAAAGTGTGAGCTCAATATTTAGACCTGGGATTTTGATAATGACTAGAAATTTGTTGATTCGATACTTTCAGACTAAAATACGTTGGTCGTTAAAACTATGGAAATCGATAAAGACGGGCAAAATGGACTAGCCTTAATGCTCTAAACATGGCTAAAAAACTGGTGCAAATCGGTTAGTCCAGTTCTAAGTATGTACTTATTATCTATAGTTTAATGAATCTTTACTTTCTTCATACTGTGTTGGTGAAAATCTTGATTCTTATTTTACTGACATCGTATACGAAATCTGATGTGAAAAAAAGAAATAGTTATATCAAAGAATACAACAGAACGATTTTTTCTTTCTTTGGAAGACATGACAGTTGATACATATAGACATATATGTAATATAATTATATTTTCAAAACGTTCTCAACCAACAAATCCAATATCATTTTATTTTCTTAGTAGTATAATAACTTGAAACACCATTAAACTCACATAATTGATCATAAACTTATTAATAGCTACAACATGATTTTTATAGAATATTGAGTGAAATACATATACTTGTACAATTTAGTTTATTATCACCTATACTTATGAGTTTGCTTATTATATTAATTATAAGAAATATTCATCATGCCCGTAAACGTATTGTAAATAGAATAGTTATACATCAATATGCATGTACAAAAAAGTGTGATTTACAATTAAATAAAATATTATTATTACAAGCTATTACAAGTATTATATGTTCATTGCTATTAGATATATCAGAATTCACAACGGAAAATTTTCTTTTATAAGTTGAACGTCATTTATCCTTTTTAAATCGTTCCATATCATTTTATGTGTATACATTAGTTGGATCACAATTTCGTCTTGAAATTCGACAATTTATTAATAAATTATCAACGTGTACATGTCATAGACGTCGATTGAAAAAAAGACGTATTGGAATAGATGGTAGATTAACCACTGCTGATGTTGATCCTCAACGACCAACAGTGCCTTACAAATGATAAATAAGAATTCTGCAAAGACATGTAGAAGAAAGAATATTACTAAATAATTTAAAGATATTCTTTCAAGTAGGTGTCCAAAAATTATTGGAAAGATTTAGAAAACAATCATTTAGAGTCAGACAAGTATCCTTTCATTAGAGTAGTTTTTAAGTTGTTATACACGGATGTGTGATTGTATATTATTCTAACAGTATTTTAAAAGACATTCCACTGGTAGAGTATGGCTAGCAGAATAGAGTGTTGCCAAAGACAATTTCGAAAGTTCAATATCTTTTCCACAACTAACAATCTTCAAGGAAGATCAATCGTTGTCTAACTGAATAACAAACCATATCTCAGAACACAAAATAAAGAAACAGCTGACTTTGAAACTTTTAGAAAACTTGATAAAATTATGAAAAACAGCAATATATTTCATGATTCCATGAGATTTCAAGGAACAAGAAGCATGCTGTTTCTGTTGCAGCATTCTTGCTCAGCCGATCCAGCTTTCTGTACATGTCTAGTATCAATGCAGCCGTCATAATCAGAAATGATGACAAGGGCGCAGTGAAATAGCAGACATATGTCACGAGATAATAATAAATATTTTGTTGGATGAATGATCCAAGACACTTATTGTAAATAACTCTATCGACAGTATTTCATAGCTGGATAGCAACGAAAACTGAATACAGAATTTTTCAACTGCATCACCAACTTTATTAATCTACTGATTTTGCTATGTTCTTCTATCTTCTCATCGAGTCATTCGCATAGTCATACTATATTAAATGCTGGGGGTAGGTGTTTGTGTCAGTATCCTCTCTACGCGAACACTCATACTCGCACCCACACCGTAAATCTTTTTTGTTTTTTGTCCGAACATTACGGGTGATTCATTCATTAGCTACAAGTACCAGATATGGTCAAAGAAGCTGTCACTCTTATGGCACTGACAATGACTTAAAAATGAAAAAGCAAAAATACTAGCTTCTCATGTTTTAGTGGTCTTACAATAAATGAGGTAATTATGTTGATAGTATTTTTGTATCATTTAGGAACAGATAGAGATAATTTGTAAAAGTCTAAAGAGTAAAGTTTTGGACCGAGTAGGGCGATTTTATATAAAACTTAAAAAATGACACATGGCATAATATCTTGGCTTTTAAAGAAGACATAGCAGATCTTCATCAGCATCTGAGTAAGACATTAGTTTTCTGATAAGAAACCTTGGTTCACATTCACTCGCTCGTTACACTACCGGTCGTCATTCAGTTTATTTTGAAACGATTTAGATAGAATTTTTTTTCGTGAATAATTCACATGATAGCATAAAATATCTGATAATATCGAAGAAGTCGTCAAATATCGTTTGACGAAAAACTATTCATATTCTGTGATACAAGATGAATAATTTGAAATGAATCTTAATGTATCAAAAAGTATTGTTAGATGTATTGCTAACAAGGTTGGAAAACAGCACCAGTTAGGTTTGTCAAATAAGCCAAAAGTAAAATTTTATTATCGACGTCATATAGTAATACCTACAATTACTCGTCGTATTCTATCATATGTAAGTAAAGTCCTCTAACAATTTCGTTAATCTCTGCAAGATGTAATATTAAATATCCAGTGATCATTGACAAGAGACGATCACGAGCTTGACACATGTATCGTCGATTATGCAATGAAAGACATAAAAACGATGTAACTACTGATGGTACATATTTTTATCTTGATGGCAATCAACGTGTTCCAGATATACATATCATATGAGAAAAAATGAAAAGAATTCAACAAAATGAGTTACTTCCTGTTGCTGTCCTAGTTTGAGTTGCAATGAGTGCACTTGGTGATAACAGAAAAATGATGGTTCTTCACGAAGATAATGCACAGGATCACACAGCAAGAGATACACCTGCTTATATGAAGGAACATAATTCAAGTTTTAGCACTTGAAAAGTGGATTTCAACGAGTTCAGATGGTACTCTGAAACAACAGGTGAGAAAGTACAAAGTGTCAACATTGAATCGTTTGAAAATGTTATCAAACACGATATAATCAACCATACTTTGGAGAATGAATAAAAACGTTGTAGACTAATTTACGACGTTCATGAATGATATATTGAACATCTGTTACAATAAATGATGAAAAATTTAAAAAAAAAATTTTCTATTTTGTTTCAAAACAAACTGAATAACCTGTAAATACATAAATAATAAATAATATCGATAAATGTCTGATTTTTTTAATTTGTATGTTATCGAGAATGCTGACATTAATGTTTGCTCAATATGGGCCTTATATGATATGTAAATTTGACATCCATGGAGCGGCATGAATATATATTAATACGATAACTGCCTTAATGACTATATATCAAAGCTATTCTTCTGTGTGCCTACTCCAGTTTAATCATCCTATCAGTTTTTTGTGTGTGAAACTTTTATGTTGGGCCAATTATTCTACAAGCTTCCTGTGGCTTTCAACAAAGTCAGAGCTGATTCAGTAGGATCAGCCTTAGATCAATCGGAACGTTTCATTCAGAATAACCGCTTCAGTTATTGGACAAAAGTTATTGTAACAATTCTTCCAACAATCATCTTTGGAGTGTTTACTGTCATATTTTCTATAGAACAGAATGAATTTTTTCGAAAGACTCGTGAACAAGATCGATTCGTGGCCGATGCTCAAAATCAACGACTCATTTTCGATAATTATATTGATGTCATATCTAATCGTCTTCTTAATTCAGAATTTCATCGAAACAACAGCGAACATCTGCTAACAATTCGTGCCAAGACACTCACTGCTTTACGCCATCTTGATGCCCATTACAAGAGTGAAATAATCTTCTTTTTATATGAAAATAGATTGATTCGAGCCGATGTCTCCAAAGCAGAACGTTTAGACTTGGACGGAGCTGATTTGACTTCAGTTCGTTTCGTTCGTTCGTCCACTCATCGATGTATCCTACCGAACCTATACTTGCCAGGTGTCGTTGCTTTGGATATTGTGTTCAATGGTTGTCGACTGATGAATTCAGTGTTCAATGGAGGTATATTCAATCGAAGTCGTTTCATTAGTTGTTCACTTGGACAAACACAGTTCATCGACACATCTCTTGATAATGGTACTTTTCTCGATTCAGACTTAGATGGTGTTAATTTTCAAGGAGCATTGTTGACCAAGACGAAATTCATCAATGCTTTTGTTCAGAATTTAACACTAGTTAATACCGATATGCTTGGCAGTAATGTGAATGACGATGATATCATTGTTCCCAGTACGAGAAAACCCAATAACATCTTAAATACACGTTTGCCAAATGGCTCATTCTCTGATATAGATTCGAAGCAATTGGTGACAGATGGTGGAGCTGAGATAGAGGTATGCCGCGGAACGTCTTTTCAATCGAAATATTCTATTTATTTTAGTGTTCATCCGAGAATGGGTTTTCGAGTTGGGGTAACATAAGAAATCAACGACGGTGGCAATGGTACAAAAAAGCTTACAATCAAAGTAATACTAGTTCAATATCACTACCCGATCCTGTCCAAGGCAATTGTTACTTTGTCACGAATACTAGCAACCTAGTTTATCAACAAATAGTTGTCAACGATTACTCCGTATTGATCAAAAGTGGAAGAGCATGTTGTAATGCATCTGCCTACATAGGCTGTTCAACAGCTCATGCTGACAATCAAGTGATCATCACGGTTCGCTTTATAAATACGCTAAACTTGTCTTACAGTGAAGAATCACTAGGTAAATACAATTTCTTGAAGTGTCTATATGTCATCTTTTTTGAATGTTGTTGGTTCACATAGTGATGTCAAGTGGAAAGAAACCGTTTCAATACATCACGAAGGTTAGCCCTATTCCAACAGGTACATACATGATCAGTGTTCGACCTGGTGCTGAAATGAATGCTTCAACCATGTTTCCTGTTCCTCGATATTGTGCTGTCGATGACATACGAGTGTTCATCTTTGACCACAAAAACCAAACAGGAGACTGTGACACATAAAGTTCTACCAGTCAACATAAATATGTAATACGTCTTTTGTGACCATTTTTCAGGATGACTGTCCATATCATATCAAAATAATATGTCGAAACAAGAGAAAGAAATTTGCCAGGATCCGAGTTCAAAATTTAGATATTTCATAAAGACAGTAAAGGACAGTAAATCAATTGTGACCCTATTCTGACATTTATCAACATATATATGATAGAGCTGTAACTCCGTAATACACGCACACAGTACCAGTGTTATTCAATAGTATCTTAATCATGAAAAACTACTGATTCAGTAAAAGAGATTTCAATTAAATAATACATAACAGATATAGTTGTAAAAGAAAATGCTAAGGTTTGACAGAATTTGACAAAAAGTGTCCCAAAATGCATAGTTTCATTCAAATCCTATGAAACCTTAGAATTTTTTTTAATTGGCCGAAATCTAGCGCCTATATCGAATAGAGCGAGTAAAACCGAATATAACTGACACAAAGATTTGACTGGATCTGATGGGCTTTCATACCGAAAACCTAAAATATTTGTGTAAGATTTTTAGGATTTGGTGCATCCCTACTTGCTATGATTGTTTGAGAACACTCTAAAAAATTTCCGTATTGTGGGAAACCGACCTGAAAGGGTTTCCGAACGCTCGGAAACCCTTTCAGGTCGGTTTTCCACAATACGGAAATTTTTTAGAGTGAAGCCCATAGTTTTAGACCATCGGGAGTTAAATTTGCTTTATAGTCTTGCACATTGCAATTCTCTATCTCTTTTTATTAAGTGTTGTCTGGCCGCTTTGTTGTAAAGCTATGTAGCTATAATAGCAGATTTTTATTCGTTTATCACCTCTCTAAGATGTACTTTTATGTACAATGTGGGAAACAACTGCAGATGAATAATTAGTACGTGACGCAAAAGCTGACCTGGATTCTCTTTGTCTAAAGACCCGTGAGTTGTATCATTGAAGCCCTTGAGCAATTGTAACGAA